AAAGTCGATTTTCGCGAATTTTTTTTTTTTTTAGAAAAACTCGATTTTCTCGCGTTCTATGCGTCCTAGCGCAAAAATACGCCCAGATTCGTTTTTATCTCATCGAGACGCATCGATTTCATGTATCGAAAAGTCGATTTTCGCGAATTTTTTTTCGATTTACAAAAACCCGATTTTCTCGCGTTCTATGCGTCCTAGCTCAAAAATACGCCCAGATTCGTTTTTATCTCGTCGAGACGCATCGATTTCATGTATCGAAAAGTCGATTTGAGCGAAAAATTATCAAAATTTTCAATTTTTATATTTCAGTGAATACCGCCTGCATTTTCATGCTCCCCCGATAGTTTTTTGAAAATTTCGAATTTTTCAATTTCTGTGAATATTTCCCCAATTGTCATCTTCCCCTGATAATTTTTTGAACATTTCGAATTTCTAAATTTTAGTGAATACTTCCTCGATTTTTATGCACTCCCCGATACTTTTTTGAAAATTTTCAATTTTTCAATTTCAGTGAATACCAATCTCGTAACGCAGAAACTACCAGAAAATAATAAGTTCCCAAAATATTCAACTCGCAAAATGAAAGAGGTAAAATCCCCTCTCGGAATAAAAATTCCTGCACTGGGACCCTGGAGCATTTTTTTTGGGACTGACAAGGGATTAATTATTTAATTAATTACTTTTTGGTGCTTGCGATGGTAAATACGAGATCTACACAGATTTTACCGACTATCAATAGCCAGTGTTGATTGTGTCGTGCAGATGGCATCATCTGGGTGGAATGTTTCCGTGACTTGTGTTTGTAGTACACCGGCGTCGAGAGCCGTCATAACTCGAGTTTGAAGGGCTATAAATCCTGTTATAAGGTTTATACTCGTCGTCTGGATGAATGCCATGAGGATTTTAATGGGTGACCATCAAAACTGGGGAGAATGGAGATCTTTGTTCTCGCTCTCAACTCATGCTCACGTTCGTCCCTTCAGGAGGTTGAGGAGATTATAGGTGGACCTCCAAGGGCTCTAACAGCCAGGAGCAATTACAAAATCATCACCTGCTATCGTGAGTAAACCATTGCGAATTTTAAGTTTGAGATAATGAGAGATCATTTGCTTGCGATCTTGATTGAAGGGAAATTTCGTTGAGGTCGATGGTATTCGGGGTAGCTATTATGGTTATGGAGTTTTTTTTTCGGTGGACGAATTGTCATTTTTATGAATGTTGCAGAAGCAAATGTCTCTGACGACTGTAAAAAATGATGAATCATAATAATGGCAACTCTGGGACTGTTTCACTTGAGTTCTCTCAGACAAATGATCCCTCTGCACACTGAGGCATCGAAGTGATGATAACAACCACTCATAAATGTGTCGGGGCATTCATATTATTTTGATTATCCTCAAGTAGCCAATTAGATTGGACTTTGGATCCAATGATGATCTTTCACTGTATGACAACGTGCGTGAGTTCACGTCGTACGAATTCAACTTGTCTATTCGTTTCGCTGATAGTCGGGTATCAAATAATAAGAGAAATTGGATTTAATTGCCTAACAAAAACAAACCAGTAAACAGTCTTGTACGAAGGTCAATTATTTTCAGTGATTAATTATTGCTCGATGACATATGACTTGTTTTGTTTTGCAATTGCCTCATCGTGTCGAATTCAGGGTTTTAAATATCAAGGAATTTACCCAGATGACAGTTATTAATTTATAATATTTATTAATCGATTTAACAAAAATAAAATCGATAGTTTCTTTACATATCATTTTTTATAAATAAAAGTCGATAATTTGTCGTTATCGTTATCGCGTGCACATCGCGAAATGATATTCTGTCGAATCAGGCTGTAAACTCTTTGGTACAGTGAATTACGGAATTTTTGGGATTAGAGATAATTGCTGAAGCTTTAGTTTCATTGCGAGTGGAATAATCTAGCTGGAGGTAATTGCACTTTTTTGTTCTACTAAATTATCTGCACTAGAAAATGTCAATTAACCGTGAAGGA